GCCTCCGGGTCCTGGGTTGTGCCCGCACCGCTAAAATAAAAAACATCAACACACAGAAAACAAAACAGAAGAAGGCTTCTCTGCCGGCCCTGCAGGACCTTCAGTAGTGCTAGACCCCAACCGAGCAGCCGCGGGTGTGTCGCGGGTCGGTCTCTCTCCGTCTTTCTTTCTGTCTCTCTTCCTCTCTCTCTATCTCTTGCTCTCTTACTGTCTCTATCTCTCCCTCTGTCCCTCTCTTTCTTTCTCTGTCTCCCACTCGCTCCCTGTCTTGCGCGTGCTCTCTCTCATTCTCTTTTTGTCTGTCTCTCTTTATCTCTTTCTCGCTCTCTTCCTCTCTTTGTCTCTCTCTCCTCTCTCTCTCGCTTTCTCTTTTTTCTCTCTCCCTTCCTCTCTCTGGCTCTCTCTCCCTCTATCTGTCTGTCTCTCTCTCTCTCCCTCTGTCTTTCTCTTTCTCTCTGTCAGTCTCTCTCTCTTTCCCTCTTCCCCTTTCTCCCTTTCTCTCCCCCATCTCTCTCTGTCTCACTTTGTGTCTCTCTCCCCTCTGTCCCTCCCTTCCTCACTCTGTCTCTCTTTCTGTCTCTGTCTCCCTCTTTCTCTTTCCCTCTCTCTCTCACTCCCTCTCTCTCACTCACTGTTTCTCTTTCTCTCTCTCCTCTCTCGGGGTGTCTCTCTGTGTCTTTTTTTTTTTCTCTCTGTCTCTCTCTGTGTCTCCCCTTTGTGTCTCCCTCTGCCTCTCCCTCTGTCACTCTCTCTCTCTCTCTTTCTGTCTTCCTCTCTCTCCCTGTCTCTTCCTTCCTCACTATGTCTCTCTGTCTCTCCTTCTCTCTCCCTCTCCCTCTGTCTCCCTCTCTCACTCCCTCTTTCTTACCACTCGCTGTTTCTCTCTCTCCCCCCCTCTGTGTACGTCTCTCTGTATCTCATTTTCTCTCTTTCTCTCTTTCTATGTGTCTCCCCTTTGTATCTCCCTCTGCCTCTCCCTCTGTTACACTCTCACTCTTCTCTCTCTCTCTCTGTCTTCCTCTCTCTCTCTCTCTGTCTCTCTAGCTCTCTCTTTTCTCTATCTCTCCCTATCTCCAATCTGGGGCCATGAGAGAGACTCCCAAGTGCAAAACTGTAGGTTCAGTACCACCCTAGTTGACTAATAAAATGGAGCTCAAATGAATTTTCACTAGTATATACAATGTGGGACGAGGGGAAGGTTGTGTAAAACTTGCCAAATTGCTTCCCTTAAGGAAGTCTACCATCATATCTTTATGATAATCCTGAAGATGTTTAAATCATGATTATGCACTTAAAACTGTTGGGATCTTAGAAATAAATCTCTAAAAAATGTTGTTTTTCAAATGACGGGAACAGATAAGTTCCAGGCGTTGAAATTTGTCCAAAGTCCCAGTTCCCCTTGGAAGAGCTCAGACTTCATACTTTTAATAAACGTCTGTCACCAGTCTGAAACTATTTGATGCTGGGAATCCCCTAGCACAGCAGACTGAGAGATTGCTTGAGTGACCTGAAGCTGTGGAAGAATTTGTTTGGAAACCAAACAGCAATTCAAGAGGACAGGATGCAGTCAAAGGAAGAAGCAAGGGAACATGTCCTGGGAAGGGTCGTGTAATGATCTGCGGTTTTTCCTTGCTATCAAACTTGGATAATTTAGGTGGAGATAATATCTATTTTCTAAGCAGGACAAGTGGGTAAGCATTTTCAGAAAGCAGTTGATAAAGAGGAACGATCAATTCAATTTTACATTTGTGTTAAGGAAAAATAGTAGAATGAGGGGTGTTACAAGATAGTGTTAACCATTGCTTATCTGGTTTCATGACACCTTGTCCTAGGATTTCCCCATGTCTTTTGCAGCCTGTTTTCCTTCAGAATGAAACAAGGATGAGCATGTGGAAGCCAACATCTAGTCTTCACTTTTGCCTAGCTCCCTAAGTCGGAAATCATCTTACCTACAGCCTTTGACATGAGTAGCCACAACTTAATACCACATGCTTCTAAGATACACCCTGGCAGGGACAAAATTAATTAAAAATTTGCAAAGTACCTTCTGAAACATTTAATAGGTTAACAAGAAAGCCAAATCCAAACTTTTCATGAGAGAAGGGCTCCAGTAAAGAGGCATGGAATAAGACATGGGTGTCACCGTCAAGGAAGCTGCTGAGACTGGTTTTAGGGACTTTCACTGTGTCTGTGGATTCACTCTGACCATCCGCTTGCACATCAACAGTGTCTTTAGATGAGACACTAGCCAAAGGTCAGGCTCTTGTCCATGTGGTGGTCCGGATTTTTTAAAAATAACTTTGCGATCTCTGCTTTTAACAAACATGTGTTGATTGCATAGTTTAAATCTGGAAGGTCATTTTATTTCTCCCATTACCAGTTTTTTGGGAGTCACTTTATCTAATCCTTTTCCTGATTTCTCAGAGTGGGTTACAAACTACCTGTTTTAGGATCACCTGGAATACCTGTTAAAATGCTGATTCCTGGGATTCTTTGACCAACTTCTGGGGAGTGTGTGTGTGTGTGTGTGTGTGTGTGTGTGTGTGCGCGCGCGCGCGTGCATGTGTGTGTGACATGGCAGAGTGGGTATAGGGTACTTTCTTGAGGACGATGGAGCTTGGATCTCTGAAGACTTGGAGCTGAGCTGCTGTAATACTTGCTTACTGCCTCACTGCACACTCTAGAAATATGAGCCTCTGTTAATTAATGAGCCTCTGTTAATTTACTTTTATACCTGAATTGAATCTTAAATGGTACAATGCATATCACAAAAGAACAAAAGAAATGAAATAAATGTACCCTCTCTTAAATATGGTGAGACAAAGTTTTTCTACCTAGATGGAAATGATCTGTCCTAGCCAACTTTCTCCATTCTGCCCAT